CACAATAATTGTTATGCTACTTTTTGTATACTCTACATTCTATAATTAAACTCAAATTCATCTACGTGTATGGAGATTATTAATATAACAATGAGGTTTTGTTTATGTATATATTGATATAAATTCTTGCCCTGGCGTAGCTCTGAGCACAAGAAACAACATTCCTGAGGATGTGCTTCTCTCTGAAATGCTAAAAACAATTTAAAAAACTGATAACAATAATAAAAAAAATGTTCTCAATATTCTCTCAGATTCCTCTAATTTATAAATTCAAAATTAAATTTTCCAGTTAAATTTCTTTCTTCTTTCTGCTACCAGCTGGTATTCTCTGTTACTGAATGCTTTAAGAATTTGTAGATTATTCAGACTTTGTCATCACAAATAAGAAAACTAATTATCTGTCAAACAACTTGTCATTTTAAATTTTTATAAATACTTATCTTTTGGATCTCTTTTTCTTTGATTCTTTCAAACAGTGCTATACTGTTTTCTTTTTTCTAAATTTGTGGTCAGATTTTCAAAATATCTACTTATTATCAATTTCTAAACATCGACTAATCTTTACTGTGGTTCTTATTGCTGTTGTTTGTTTCTTTGTATCAGGAAACTATTTGGAAATTATTATTAAGAAATTTTGAGGATCGTTATAAATTCTAATCCTCCCATCAATTTGGATAATCCAAACTGATTCAAAATTTTTGTTATCAATCAAAATCACAATTTCTATAACAACCAATTTACGTTTGTTTTTTTTTTTGCAAATTTACAATTTTTACACGTTTTACATAGTGGGTCATATTCTTCTTGATGCTCAAAATACACCCAACATGAATCCACATCAATATATTATTATTTTTAGCCCTTTTTACAGATAAGATTTATTATTTTTGTAAATAAACTATACAATAGTTAATATTTAAAGTTAATCTGCAGCACAACTTTCTTTCCATTGTCTTAATCCATCGTATATGCACTGGCGCTGACCACATTGTTTTACACGGTTCGTCCATATTTCCGGTGAAAATGTCATCTCTCACAAAGTATCGTCCATTTCCCAGCTTCCGCTGTATGTATTTCAGTCACGGAAAAAGTGGAAAAAGCGCCTAATGGTCAGCGACACCGATTCGGGCTGTTTGTAGGGGAAATGTCAAATGTTTTGTGGCTTGTTGGTTTTTATTTCTGCAGAGTTTTCATAAGCCGAGTGGAAAAATTGGATGCGAGTTGGTGAAATTTTAAATTCGACTTTGAAAGTGTAGGATTTCAGATTATGGCTCTTTGGATTTCGTTAAATCCTTATCACTGACGCGGCTCTAGCGAATTTCTATTTAATTTTATTTTATATGTCGTGGAAGTCGGCTTTATAAAATTTAAATGTAGATGCATACTTGATTTTCCGTAAAATATTTATTTCAAATATCAAAAGTTTGTGATAAAAGTAATATATTTTTATTCAACAGTTAAACAACTACATTTATTGTAAAGTGATTTTTAAAAGTAATAACAAGATAATTTTGTATTTTTTTGAAATTTTTGGATTAAAATAAATAAATATTACATGTGTTACACTAAATTACACCAAGAGAAATATGTTTATAACTAATGAAAAAACTGATTTATTTATGGGTGATTTCTTATATATTGTAAAAAGAACAAACGACTTGCCTGTAAGAAAATTGGTTCCAAATTATTGTAGTATACTCATTTTTGAAAATGTTCCCCACCCTGTATCAAGTTGCAAAATTTTAAAATTTTTTAGTAATAATGGTAAATTTTTCACCTGCTACTGGCCTATATGTATTTTTTTTTAATAATCGCTATTAATGATAAGCTTGCGTAGGTTCCCAAATCGGATCACTTGAGATTACTCCCTCTGAGTTCATTAGCGTATAACTGAGAGTGGAATTTTCTGTTCTCTGGCAGAGATTCGTTTAAAATGTTTTTTTTTTTTATTTATTAAGAGGGTGCAAAAAGCACAATACTGGAATAAAAAAAAAAATCTCGCGAGATGTCATTTAATCTAAAAGGGTAGATATGTACTCTAGAAGAAGTTAAAGTTACATACAGGAAATTTATTAAAAGGAATATTTATAATATTGTTTGGACTGATCTATAATTTATTTTTTTCTAAAGTTGACCTTGGAAAAAATCACTCATTCCCAATCGTACAATACTTATTTTATTAGATGTAAGTTTGAATGTAAGTCTTGTATCTTTATTTATGTTGGTTATGGCTTAACTTGTAAACATTTTTTGTGGATTACCTATTTTTTTAAAGAAATGATTTCTTTGTATAATTTAGACTTTACTTCAGGTATTAGTAATAATACACAATAACTAAAACCTATAAACCATTTTGATAATAAATGTTTAAGTTGCACCTAAATAGTAGTGGTCATATCGCACAAAGATTAAATTTAAGCATAGCGTCTCTCTCTCTTTCTCTCTCTCTCTGCTGCTATCCTACTTTTAGAGTTCTATTACTTTAATAACTTCTTATGAAGTTGATGATGTACGGACTAATACCAATCTCTCGATTATCTTACTCCATACGGCTGTGTTAAATGCGTTTTTGACATCAATTAGGATGACGGCGCTCTCGGAATAATTCAAATCTGCTGCACATGCAATAACTTGGTTAATAGCATCGATTGTCAACCTCTTTTTCCTAAATCCGAATTGTGTACCTGCTAGCCCTTGTTTCTCTTCCCGTTCATCTTCCAGTCTCTTTCTGATGAGATGTTCAAATAGCTTGCCAAATACAACCAGAAGGCAGATTGGCCTAAAAGGTTTTCTTTTGCAATTAGTATAATCGATGATTTTTTTCCATTTATTTGAGAAACTCTAATTAGATAGTAATCCATTATACATATCCAGGATATTTAATGGTATCTCTTCCATCGCCATTTTAACCGATTCTACCGCTATTCCATCTGGCCCTGGTACCTTACCAATTTTAAGTCTTAGTCCTGCATCCTCTACTTCCGTTATCGTAAGGTATGGTACATTACATACCTTCTGCTTTGGGAAGTAGTCTCTGATTTTCGGGAAAAGCCTGGTTGCAATTTTGAGTTTTTCGTAATCTGCTATTTCGTAAGGCGTGCTAATGTGTTTTAGCCGCCCCGATACAATTTTGTACCTCTGGACCCAGATATCTCCTTGTAAATTGTGTACACAATTATTTCCAACATTTTCTTTTAGCCTGTCTTATTTCCCTACGAAATTATTTTCTGGCGTTCTTGTAACTTGACTCTAGTTGGTTCACTGCTTCTATACCTTCCCTCTTTTGTACTCTTATCAGTCGTCTGCTGAATTCATTACATTCTGTTCTTTTGCCTTCTAAATTTTCATTTCACCAATATGCTTGATAACTCCGGCTTGGTCTCGCAGTTGCAATTTCTTGGGCGTTACAAATAAGTTTTTATCTAGCACTATAATTCCTTTCCATTGTATCGTGGATTTTTTATCCTCTTCATGTACCTCGAAGAAAATGTACTGGTGGAGACTGAGTGTCACTTTCCATCCTTTAATTTGTCTTGAGATGTTTGCTCTAGAGACAGTAATATCTATAATGAAATTTTGTGGCCCCCTTACAAAGGTCGGAGTCATATCGTTGTGGACCGTCATTCCTAGTGATTGTATCCACACTTCGAGGTATTTTTCCCTACGGTCAGACCTGACTACTCCCTACATGATTGACTTGGCATTTAAGTCTCGTGTTTTTTTTTTAATTTGGTGTCATCGACTGCTTAGGTCATTAGCCTCGTGTTATGTGTAGGCTTTGTTACTGTTTCCCAGTGCCACTTTAGGACCAGCACTGTTAATTAGAACCTAACAAAGAATGGTCGAGTGGGGAATCCTACCAAGGCATCAGAATTAATTTTAAATAATGAAATTAAATAAAAAAATCCCGGCCAGCGGTGGGATTCGAACCTGGGACCCTTAGATCCACAGGCAGAGACTCTACCACTGAGCCATTTACCCCCTTAGTCTCCTGTTAAAATTGTTTCTGTTTTCTATTTTCTAATCTGTGACATGAAGTTATTAATATATTAATATATTAATAATATTAATATATTAGGTGATATATAGCAGTTATATAACGTTCAGTCCTTAAACTTCAGTTGAATGTACCCTTCGCCCCTCTTCTGTGATATGATCTGACAGTTCCTGTTACAGTAGTATATTTCAGTAAGTAAACGTGTATCCATTATCCATTTTTCGTTTGTACGTATCTTGCTTTTATTTGTTTCTTGTAACAAAATAATATTGATGTTCCCCTTGGTGGCGTTGGCAGTGGCTAGATCTAGCGCTCCTACCCCTATCTGAATTAATTTGTTTGTAAAGTCTCCTCATTGTTAAAAATCTGCATCATCATTTCCTCTATAATTATATTATCTCCCTCTGTCATTTTACCGGAACCTAAATTACTCGTTGTTTCTTCCTCGCTATGCGCTTTTGTTCTCTTTTCTACATTCTTTCTTTCGTTTATCCTAGCTTTTTGTAATGCCTTTTTAAATGCCGCCCACTTTCTCGTGTCTATCCAGTGGCCCTTTTCTTCGCACAGGGAACATTCTTCTATATTGGAGCATTCTTTGGCATTATGATCTGAGAGACCGCATTTGTAAAAATTTTTCCTCCTTTCTTTCCCTGAACAAAGTTCGGCCTTGTGATTATAGGCCCAGCAAATATAGCATCTTTCAATCCGCAGTCTCCTCTCCACTCTACAACTAACAATCCCGACTCTCAGAAATTCCTGTCTTAGAAGTTTGTCTGCCTTTTCTTTTAATACTACTTGCGTTGCTGCCATAGTATTGTTCTCTAGTGGTCTAAATTCACCGATTTACTACCTGGATTAGTTTTTCCCTCTCAACATTCAGGTTCATCCCTCTTATATGTAGCGATTCCTGTTGGTTACGCTCTTCAACTTGCTTACTCTTTAGTGAGCTTGGTCCACCTTCCAGGACTTTTGTAATTTCTTTTAGTGCCTCCTGGTCCTTGTCCTAGGTTAGTAGTAGCTTCTCATCCTTCGTGCTTTTGAGATTTCTGATGGCATTTATCGCAGATCCATTTTTGTTTGCTTGCTTATCCTTTCCCAGAACATCTTTATACAATCTTCCTTCTTCACCAATAATCATTCCCAAAGTGGGCCTCTTCACCTCCACCTTTTTGGAATTATGTCTCGTTGTGTAAATATCCACGATACATTTTTCATTATGGAAAATCAATTCTATCATTTTTCTTAGCTTACTAACACTACATAATTCTATATAATGAATAGCAACCTTATTCTTTGTTGAAAGTCTCTGATTTAAGCATCTCCAGCTCATGCTATATGTCGACATCTGTCGAGTCATGAGTAATTTTTATTATCTTTCTCCTGCAACTGCTTTGATCCAATTTTGGTGCTTTGCTTCAAAGATCCGAGTTCAGGGAATTTATCTCTATATAGTCTCTAAATACTCTGATTCATTTGTGGGTCTGTCGGATCTACTAGAATTACTTTGACCGTTGTATCGTCGGTATTGATGGGGTTTCTTATTACAACCTTTGTGTTCGTAAATAGCTTTTCAGCCCATTATTTGGCCTCCACCTCATGAAAGTACTCATGTCTTTGACTTCTAGTGATCGAAGCACCATATCCTTAGGGACGTCATGCCATGGTTTAGTTTGCGTAGACATTTCCTTCGTACATTTGTCTGTTTGAATATCAGCGTCGAAGGTTATCTTTTCGACGGTCTTCCATTTATTTTCGTCCATCCAATTCTTAAGAGAATCCATTTTAAATTGGTCCGCGTTTCTAACTAGTTTACCTATTGTCTCCTTCATTCTTTTATGTGTATTTGGTACTTCCTTAAGTAGACTACTCACTTCTTCAGTGATTTGCAAATTCCTCTTTTTCTCATTACGAAAGCTTTAGGGCTATTTCTTCTCTTATATAGTTCCTCTGTCTGACTCAAAAAAGAGATATCCTGCAAAAGAGTAATACTAGGTAATATTGATATCATACCATCAAAGAAATTATCAAAAAAAAAAAATGAAAAAACTACCATTATTAATTGTAATATATTATAATAATAGTATAAAATTGTGACAATGTTTAAAAGAAAAAAGAGATTAAAAATAATATGAAGTTAAGGTACTGCCTTGAATTTTTTCTCTTTCAGATTATATGGATCGTTCTCCTTCATGTGTGTTGTTACCTACTCAGTTTACAGAAAATTATGTTTTAGTTGTTTTAATAAAATTTTCTTTATTTAGAAAATTTATTATTAATTAATTTTAATAACAAAATAGATAATAAATATAATTATTTAATATTACAATATTTATTTTACCCTTTCTAAAATTGTGTCATAAAATTTTACATTTTCATTGGCATTTTGTTACATCTTGCACCTTGTCTGTGTTGTAAAAAATGCCAATAAAAATCCAAAATTTTAGTTATACTAATTAAAGTAGGGCTACACTTAAAATCTCGCTAATTTTTAAATGAAATAAAATATGCAGATATCTATATTACCGACTGATAAATAGTTGAACAAATCTGCCATATAGCGCTGATAGCAAACATGTTGCCATATTTATACAAAGAAACGGCAACTCTTAACTATCCTTCCTCCATGCTAGGTACTCCTCACTTGACTGCGTCTGCCATAATTTGTGTCCTGTGTTTCGAGAAAATTCTAAAATTGACAGCGTACCAGTGGCATACTATATTATGTTTTTTTAAGATTCAAATATATATTGAATATTTATTCAACATCTAATGATTTTTTTTTGTTCTAGGTAAGAAAAAAAAGGAATGTCTTCTCGTAAGTATTACACTTTGTTATTTGTTTAATAAAATAAAAAAAGGAATAATTACTTATTAATTTTAAAAGAATTTTATTTTAAATTATTGCATCTTAAGTATTGAAACATATAGGGTGTTTCAAAAAAAAGTGGTCCCGTCGCTAAGGTAGAACTCTGAAAATAGGGTGTTGGTTTCTTTCACACAAGTGATATTTTTCTTACGACCACAAAATAATTTTATCAAAAAAATGTAAAACTGAAAAATCTTGTTATAAAGATTCTATCAAGATGTGACTGGGTTTAGATTTGTTTTTTATATGTCTTATTAAATAATTTTTAAAGCGTTTTACAGATAGTGTTGTGACTCCATTTACAAATAATGTCATAGAATGATAAAGATAAAATAACATTAGTTACAAAAAATATTAAAATACATTAATGTTATATGTTGATATTATACTTTAGTTGGTAATATATTTTCTCCAGTATTCCCTTCCAAAACCCTACAAATTATAGTTATAAAAAAATTCACCGACCTCAACTGCAACCAGATATTTTTTCATGACCTTTTTCACCAACGCGAAATAAAAGATAATGCGATTTTCTTGTCTGATCCAACCGAAGCGAAATCACATGATATTAGTGCAGGTGGGCACATTAGGAACATATGGCGTAATTCGCAACGATAAAGCCATGAAAAAGAAACTGAAACATTGCGGCAAATTAGCAACATAAGCAAGTGCAATGATGCAGTCGGGATGGGGAATTGGTATCACTTTACCAAATAGAATTTTACCACCTAGATTATGTTTTTATTTCCCGCCGGAGCGAATTGGATTGGTAATTGGGAAACACACTATTGAAAATTATATTCCGGCGATATCTACAACCCGTAAACAGATTATTTCGTTCTGCATTTTAACGTTTTTCAACAAAGGTAAATGCGGAAACTAGTCCAAACCAAAGTAGTTATTTTACTGATTGTTATAGTTATAGTTATAATAAAACTATGTACAGGCCATCGGCCTGACTGATAGCAAACAGTGGCGTAGCTAAAGGGGCATTTGGGGCAGCAACTGCTACCTGGTGTTTTTGACGCAATCTGATCAAAATAGTAAACTTCGAATCTACTTTTACAGCTAAAATTCTTTAACGTTCCACTGTAAAAGATTTCGCCAAACTTTTGATTTGTGATATCCATACAGCAGCGTTAGTTTGAAAAAATGTTATATTTCTTTTTTGTTAATTTTAATAATTCCTGTGACTACTGCTTCTGCAGATATCGTTTTTGAAATTAAAAATTATTTGAGGAGCACTATGTCGCAATGTCTTTTGAGTATTGAAAACAAAAGAACTCAAGATTTTATTCAGGATTATCTGATCAATCTCTTCGCAGAAAGCGAAATTAGAAAAAAAGATTTTTAATATATATGATGTAAGGTCAAGTTGGATAACTGGAACCTAATGGTAACTGGGTCCTATACTTCTAATTTTGTATTCCAATATTTTAAACTTCCCTCAGTTTTTTACTCTCTACACAGTGCCAGCGTTTCGTTTTTGAAAACGTCTTTATTTTACAAAAATCAACTATAAGAGCCCTAACAAGCGCTTTTTGGCAAGCCAGGTAGACCTCCATTATTTGAGGGTTGTTAGATTTTTATTTTGAACAAAAGAAACCGGTATGCGTTATTATGCTACTAAAAAGCATTGTAATGTGATCTGTGATTAATAACACTAGTTAACAGTACATCTGTTGCCGAAGAAATTTCAGGTGTTGCTGACTATAAATGATATGCTTTTTTCAAAAGTATAATTAGAAGATTTTTATCAGCTCTAGTTTCTAAGCTTCAGCTATGTAGGTACAAAACAGAAAAAAAACATGTATATTGTTACAGGCTAAAAGTACCTTACTAAGCTATATATTTAAAATTTACATTAGTTACCTTTTTTTATGATTCTATCATATTTTCAATCATATAAATATTTAAATTTAATTATTTTCATACCTCGATGCTATTCAAGAGTCAAAACAAAACAAATGAACTTTATTTAATAAAATAATTTGTATAACTATAAATTTGATATGCTATTTTTCGTTAAGAATCCAATGATCTTGGCTGGTTAGTTTCCCAATATTTCATTTCTAAAATAAAAAAAAAAAATAATTAAAAATATTCAAATATTGTAAACAAACAATTATTATAACCTTATCTAAGAATTGTCATATTCTTCCTCATTTCTTCTCTTAATTTCTAATTTGTCATTTATTCTTAAAACAATAATTTCTCTTAAATCAATTAAAAGAAGAAAACAGGATACCATCTAAAACAATTAATTTATTGCTAAAACTTCACGGCAAAATATTAGCAAAAAAAGTGGTTCTTGCTTTTTTTTTGCATTGAGCACATTTTCTGAGAAAGAAGCGTGCCCGCATTTTGCGGATTTTCTTCGAAGAACCTCATATTTAGTGAACTAAAAGATTTTGTGATAATACTGAACAATAATCTCACCATTGTGGATAAAAGTTCTGAATATTTAGAGTTTTTCAACTTTTTATAGTAACTTCAGTTGAAACCCCTTTGTGGCCACCCATCATCCAAGGACTCTTATGCAGACTTTCACTCTTATGCAGACTTTTACTCTTATGCAGACTTTCACTCTTATGCAGACTATCACTTTCACTCTTAAGCAGTCTATCACTCTTATGCTGATTGTCAATCTCATTCCCATTCAAATTACAATCTGAAGATTAATTTTTGAATTTACTATATCTAGTCTGGAACCCGGAGGTTCCTAGACACCGAATTATTTAAAGACATTAAATGGAACTAGTGGAGGAATCCAACCAGTCCATCTCTTTGGATTTAAGATAACTGGAGACTCAACTCATGGTTAACAGCCAGAAGACCTGGAAAAACAGCTAAGAATATTTAAATACTAACTTTATCTTTACCTAATCATTTTTTTTATGCACTTGTCTTTACACCCAATTGGCGACGTTTAATATAATTTGATTTGATTTTATAAAATTTATTGTTTAATCTAATTTTATTAATATTATTTACTAACTATTTATTTCTAGAAATAAACTACATCTTACCGTAGGTTGTTACAGCAATTACTAAAATGTAATTCATTGTATTTCAAGCTCTTCAAGCCTTTAAATCTTCAGAATATCTTCGATTTATAATTGCTTTTCAAACTACCTAAAATCATTTATATTTATATCAAATAATAATTAAGGTATATAATTACTCACCTGTTTATAATCCATTTGTGCTTATTTATCTAAAACCACAAAATATATATCTACTCTTATCACTTAATAGAAAATATTCCGCACTATATTTGTTTTCTTAAAAGAACCCGAATCTGTTTTAAAAGCAACCAATAACTGTTTTTAATCCAGTACAATTTACTAAAAAAATAATTAATCATTAAGTTCTAAAAAACTTTGTTTTAAAGCTCTTTTCTAATGGGTAGACTTTTGAAAATGACGTATCTGAGACCAACAATAGTCAGACATCATATTCGTGTCCCAGAAACCCTGATAGCGCTCTTCCATGACGCGTAAGTCTTGATGCATACGCTCTCCCTGCTCTTTGCTCATGTCTCCTAAATTTTCCGGAAACTTGTCCAGGTGATTATGGAGAAAGTGAAGTTTGATGCTCATATTGCACCCTATATTTTTTAATTTTAGCAGAAGGTCTTCTACAAGTTCAATGTAATTTGCAGATTTTTTTTATTTCCGAGAAAATTCTGCATCACAGAGACCTTAGTCATAGAATTTATAAATTGAGTATCTTTCGCAAGTTGGGGCCCATTAAAAATACCGGCTTTAATCTTTTCCATAGTGAGCTGAGGAAATTTTTGGCAAATGTGAGAAAAGCAGTTTCCGTCTTTATCCAGTAATTTAACAAACTGTTTCATGATGCAGTTTTATATGTAATGGTTGAAAAATAATTTTCCTAATGAATTCTAGACTATATTTTGCTTTCCAGGCTTCATATTTTCTCTTAAAGGCCAATTTCTTC